GTGACCTAATTTCTCTGGTTCGGTGTTATCGACAGTCGCCATTGTTGATCCTCCAAATTAGCTTGAAGAGGACGAAATTGGACGAAATTGAGGACGATAAGACCACACTAATGGTCGTGTGGCTCTGATACCATGTAAAATTCAGCTATCCAGGAAGCTCAGCCATGGAGTTTTAGCTGACCAGAAACTGATCTAATGAGCTTGAGTAAGTCGGCAGAACAGAGGATGAAGGTGGAGAGAATATTTCAAAAGATTCTATTATTTCTCTTGTGTATCTGTATATTTGTACAAGTATATGTATAGTGAAATGTATGACTAAAACTAAAATTAACTCTACCACTAGATGTGGTTAACTAACTCTACTACTGTTAATTATAGTAAACTTAAGTTACAACCATTACAACTAACTAACTGTTATTACAACTAACTAAGTGACATTGCTTGGCTCATTACAAACCGTAACAGAATAAGCAATCATCCACTTTATCTTAATGCACAATATCTACAATTTCATAGTTTCAATGAGAGAGCTGTGGAAAATATTAAAGTTGTGATGTTCCATAACCAAATGCAAGTAAATTTATCAAGAAAGTTTTATTTACACTAAAATTTAACTTCTGATATCATTCTGTTTTCACTAACTAGAATACATAGTTATTATTATACTTGTCGCTGGTGTTAATTTTTATTGTAATAACCGTGATCGTGATGGTGATGGCAGCTATTCTTATTTTCTGTGTTAAATTTACCCATCCAATAACATTGATATTGGTAGAGGCATTTTTTTGGGTGAGTTTAGGATTAATATCCTAACTAATGCATATAATTTTATTTTTTTCCTATTTATTGATGATCTATTTCTTAGATAAATAAAATTAGAACTTAATTTGACACTAATTGGCAAGAGAGGAATGCGTTAGCCAATTTGGAAGTATGCATCTTATGGAGATTTTTTACCTAAAACTGGGGGATTCATCTAAATATTATGGCGTATGCTAAACAATAAATACTCTAACAAAAATTAATATTAAACAATTTAGAAACCTTCTTCCTTCAGTATAAAATTGAAGTAAAATATTACTTGTTGAACAAGAAATGCCAAATACCAAAATTGACCTCCAAAAGAAGACTAATGATATAATTCGTACGAAATAAATTGTATTGGCAACATCACTAGTTTTATTTAGAATTGCAGAATACTGTTTTATTCTGATCTTCTGCTGGATATGCATTATTTACTCAAAACGTCTGTAGACAAATAAAATTTTATTAAATTTAAATCCACAATTAATTTGGATTTCATCGTATATTAAATACATATTAGTCCAAATGATACTATGGGCTAGTATAATAGAGTGTATTATTTAAGTCTAAAATGAATTGATTTAAATAAAAGTCCAATGTACTATTGGGCTAGCCCGCAAATTGGTCTTCTATCAAATAGGTCGGCCCATAAGCCTCAAGCCCAATGATCCACTAGGGTTTTCTTGGAGACTACTCCATCCCATGCCTATATAAAGGGGTCAGAGGAGAAGGCTAAGACAAGCAAGGAAGCAGAAGGAAAGGCTAAAGAAGCTCTGAAGAATAGCATCAAGGTCTCCATCCATATCTGCAATCATCGTCTGTGGTCAAATTCCAAAGGCGAACTCAAGTCATAGGCGGGCGGCTTCAAATCTTCCGTTCGTGATAACCCAACACCAAATCCTGGTTCGTGACGAGCTTCAAATTGTTCGTGACGTACTACAAATCTGAAATCTGTCAAGTTCAAGATCAAGCTCTCGAGCTCTTGAACCGTCATCCGTGAGGAGGAGAATCAGAGGACTACATTTCTTTAGATTTAGAGATATTTTAGAGATTGTAACCCCATCACTTGAAATTAAATATAATATTTGTCGCTATATTTCTTGTATTGATTATTATTTTTCAGGAGCGAAATTTAGTTGTTACACATTTTTACCCACCCTGTCCTGCCCTGCCCTGCCTATATAGCATTGTTTTAGATTTTTGTCCTATCCCACCCCGTCCCGCCCAGCTAACCCTTGCCCCGCTCTGTCCCGTTTATGTTCTTTTTTTATTTGTCTTTATTTTTTCTTTTGCAATATTCTAAAATAATTTTTTTAACTTTTTCAATTTTAATTTGAACCTACCAATTTGAACTTGACTAAACCGGTTTATCCTCGTTCAACGGTTGATTCAAGATTTATTTCATCTGTATATACTATTCACTGAAATAGTTATTTTTTATAACATATTATGCTCCTAGCATCATGGCTCCTTTAATGGATTAATCAGTTGAGGTTAAAATAAGAAACCAATGACAACAAAATTACTTGGCCAGTGGCTGAGATTGAGAATTTAATATCAAACAGCAAGGAATTCGACAAGGTGGAGGTCAAACCAGGGTCAGTTGTTCCACTAGAAGTTGTCACTGCCACTCAAGTTTGTTGATTGAATTTAACTTATATATAATGACTGGGGTAAAAGAATTTTTTTAAATTATCAGTCTATTTTAAACTATTATAGCACGTAACATGCTAATGTTCGATAAGTTTAATGTACTATAATTTAAATTGTTGATGATTACAGTTGGACATAATGGCTCGACTTTGAAGTAGAACCTATGGTATTGGAGAGATTAGAAGGATGTAACGCTACATATGAGTGCAGAAATAGTGGGGGGGTTCTGCTAGGGCTGTTCAAAACCGAACCGAAACCGTTAATCGAATTAAACCGATGGCTTATTGGTTTATTGGGTATATCGGGATAATGGATTGTGAACAGATTGAGATTTTATAATCAACGGCTTAACGATTTTGGACGGATTACTCAATTTTCTTATTGGGTAAACCGTTAACCCGTTAAGGATTTTTATATTATACTTTTATCCCTATGTAAATAAAGTACTAGTAAAACCTAAATGGCTAAATCCCCTCTTATTCTCAATAGAACTTTCGTCTGTCCGTAGCTAATGGCATTGGCAGTCGTCTTTAGCTTTTACCGGGAAAAGCTACCAAAACTAACAGAGTCAGTTTGAACTATGCATTTGGCCGTTTGGTATTGATTGTTCAAAAATCTTCTATTTGATTTAGCCGATAAACCGCCCGATAATTGTCAATCCGATACCAATTCGCTTGATGTCTTATTGCATGACTAGCGGATTACTACATTTATAATTTGATATTCGATAAGTCAAACCGTTAAGCGTAATTTTCCCTCCGATCCGCTCCCCTAGGATCTGCTGAACGTGGTGCCTCAGGACCATTTGGTTTTACTGGTTCTAACAGATAAGGCCTTGTCCGACAAACTCCAATATACTTCTACATTGCAAAAGATGCTGCGGGAAATTTCACCACATTCTTCTGCAATGATCTTACGAGGTTCTAATTCTTATTAAAGATTGTTTATCGATAATTATTAAAGATTGTTTATTGTAGCTCTCAAATGTAACTACGAGCTTTTTTGGGAAAGTGCTTTACTACACAATGTCACTCCGAATGTTGGGTGTTAATTAAAAAAAAAAAAGTAACAAAGTAGAGATAGACGTGAAATTGAATTATTCAATTAAATTGTCAAATAGATTAATAGAGCAACTTTCAGATATTTCAAAATAAAGTTTGCCCTGCCCTGCCCTGTCCCATTAATTTTTTTAAAAAAAAATTCCCCGCTCTGCCCTTCCTTGCCCCAATTGCCATGCCTGTCAAGCACGGAGACATGTCACCTAATCTCTAGTGGTATAGGTACAAGTACAGCCTAGATCCATGAGTGTTCGACTTGTAACACTCTGTCGGATGGCTAATTCTGAACTAGACATTGTTCTATATAATATTTATTTTGTGGTAAGAAGTGAAATAAGCCTTTAAAAGACATGTTTTCTATCTTCGCACTTTCTAAAACCCAATTTACCAATTTACTGAGTTCTGCATTAGGGCTACCTCCATAAGTTCGAATGGTGTCACCTTGATGTGATAGCCTTCTCATTTAAAGTTTGATACATCAATTATATGTCACACCCCTTTCAAAAACAATAAAGAGAGAGAGGTTTAAAACATCAAACACTTTGCCTAATGTTTCAAACAGGGTTTTAGTGGATACAATATTATTGCCCTTATTTATTTATTTTTGTCTCTCAATTTCATCTTTTACTTTAGTTCTTTCTGGAACATCTATTATTAAGAGTAACATTGAAAATATAATATTTAATTCTTTTCTTAATTTTCTAACAACTTTAGGAAAAATGGCAAGTGAATATGACGGAAGAGAGTAGATAGATTCCACCAATGTAACACAATGGACGGGCGGATATAATGGATTAGCTATGGATTTGTCTTAATTCAGTAACTTAGGCTTAAACCTTACAAAAATTCCACCAAGCAAGCATACATGATAAATTTCAAAACTAGTAAATTAGATGAGTTACGATAGAATTCCATTCTTTGCTCACTATTCATCAAACTCAGAGGCACGTGTAAATATATCTTGTAGTATAAAAAAAAATCATCATAAATTAACTAGATCACAAGTATATGAACATTTCTAAATTCGAAAAGGCATAAATAACTTCAGCAGAGTATTAGTATAACATCCGAAAAATAACAAAACATTGTCAGAATGATCTTTAAATACCCGTTCAGACATTCTAAATATGAATATAAATCCCACATATTATTACAGAGCACATTGAAAATTTGATCTCTGAGAAGTTACATTTCTTGCTAGAGAAATGACATGTACTTTTTTAAAGAAAAACCAACAAAGAGAACACAAGCATATAGCAGACAAAAGTTACATCTTCCTCTGTATCTTCATCTGGATGTTCCTCGACTCTTTCTCCACTTCTTCTCAAGGCCGTGCTTTCTCAATCTAATATGTTAAAGAAATATCTCCAAGATGACTCTCGAGTAAACAACAACAACAACAACCCAGTGAAATCCCACTAGTAGGTTCTGGGGAGGGTAGCGAGTACGCAGACCTTACCCCTACCCCGAAGGGATAGCGAGAAATTAGAGTTCATAGTCCTTTTCTTATATGATCAAGCATATTTAATTTCAACCACATGACAATTGTTAAAATATGATCTCCCCTCCTTATCATTGATATAGGAGGCATTTTTTTCTTTGGGCAACAATTCATGTGCCACCTTTTCAAGAGGTTAAAGTAATATTTTTGTTGATATTGCTTCCCTCTGTTACACAAGTAGCAGATAGATAAAGATATGGTCCTCCAAGCAAGGCCTTCCCAAAGGTTTGTTGTTCCTAACATATTTCTATCACCAAATCTACCTATAAATTGGTTCAGGGCTCTTTCTTCCATTGTAGAACTGAAAAGTACACAATGTACATTAAAACACACGGTCTAAAGAATCGAACAAAATTAACCGAGGAATCAAATTCACGTTGCGAGACCTAATATTATTTGTAGTTCAACTTAACATGTTTGTCTACTCAATGAACAGTGATTTTTAGTTTTCCTCTTATATCAGGAAGGAATAAGCAAATAATAGCAAAAATAAACTACCATGACTTTTTTCCCCCTCAAAATTTTGCAATACACACAAAAGAGTACTAAAGAAAACTACAGCAACAACAAACAACGAACATCACGAAGCCCTCATAAAAATGTCTTTTTGACAGGATTGACAGAGCAAGAATGGCCAAATTCAGAATATGGACATAGGCAAGCTGTACAGGGGTAGTATGAGCTCAACCAATGAAATAAAACAAACACAACATAAAATCGCTCAATTACTGCATTGACGGAGACCAACCCAAAAAGAGTTTCGTAGAGCCATTTTCCTAAATGTAAATATTTGTGTACTTCGAGCTGTGGAAGCAGCTACTAATGTTTGTATTACGATAGGCTGTCTATTTATCACAACTCTCATGGTGCGACTCTTCTCCGGACCCTGTGTGAATGCAGGATGCCATGTGCACCGGGCTGCCAAACATATATATTTGTGCAATGATTTTTCTAAATCTTTTTCATTGACCATGTACATCATAATTAAAAGGCCGTACAACAAGAACATGCAACGAATGTAACAAACTCTTTATTATAGTCAACAATATACTCCTATTTACAAGTTATGCAGAAGAAATCCTATTACAATCAACAGGTTAATTCTTTCTTACCTAATGATTCAACACAGTTCATGATCAGAAGTCAAAATGTTAATGGATATTGAAAGTTCATCGTTGATGATTTACTTACTTGAATCAAAGGCATAAACTTTAAGCATGTTGTTTCCCAATTCCTCATGCTTTTCCTGGATCTGCTTGGCAAAAGTCACAAGAGGACGACGGCATTTATGTAATTCAATTAGCTGCAGCGTCACACTATCTGCAAATCCTTCTGGGATCTCTTTTAATAGTGTGCATTCTTTGATGCAGACACGCTCAAGGCATTGGAAATAATCATCGGCGGCTGTCCAATATCTAAGATACAGATCCTCAAGGAGTAAAAACTTCAATTTACGGAATCCCATCTCTGTTATTTCCCACTCAACGCCCGAGAAGGCATCATCCTTCAATTCAAGCACCTCGAGATTGGGCAACTTGCTAAAAATGTTCATGCAATTCCATGGAAGACAGGTACGGCTAAGTGTCAATTTCTTGAGATTTGGTGGGAAAGAACCTGGACTTGGATTGATTAAACACGGCAGCTGGTCGGAATCAAAATCAGGCGGAACTGTTAACATTTAGTGCCTCGAGCTCTATTAAATATTTAAGATTATTATACCATCCCATCTCGCTATGAAATTCCTCTGCTTTACCAGAAATTTCCAATTTCTTCACTTTCTTAATCGCTTCAAATATTTCTTTTGTGCAACAAGAAGGTATCAACCCAGAAACAGTTTGTATGTTTTCCAAAACCAAGTTCTTCACCTCATTTTCTGATATCGTATAAGGAGAGTCCAAATACATACACCAAAAATGGAGATGCCTTAATTGAGACAATTTCCAAATTCCATTTGGTAAGGAACGATTAGCGTGCATTCGGGTCGGACGAACAATGAGAGTTTGTAAATTCAAAAGTTTAGAAATTGGAAATTGTCCAGATCTTGAAATGCTCAATGCCAAATACCTTAAAAGAACTAGGTCTAGTATAGCTATGGGGAAATTAAAGATCTTCTAATTCTCCAAGTCCAATACCCTAAGAAGTTTGAAATGACACCTTTCTACATCAAGAATTAATGCTCTAGAATTGACAGAAAAGGAACGTAATTTGCTATAAGCAAGAACAGGGAATCGACTGTGAAAATAAAAGCCCCTTGATTGTTGTGATACCCACCTGCAACCTTCAGGAATAACCCATAGAGGTCCATCAATATCGTTATTCACAATATACAGAAGATTTTGGCAGTCAGCTTCTTTCAAGCAGAAATCATGAACAAGATCATGAATCATACATTTCATGATTTTACCATCCATACTTCTCTTGCTAACAATAACTAGACTTTTATCAATAAGATGATTTAAATGACTAGCAGCCACTTCTTCCAATCCCTCCATCCCCTTTACTTTTAGGAGCCCTTCCGCAATCCATAATCTAATCAACTTTTCCATAGAAATTTCACTAGCTTTAGGAAAAAGTCCAAAATACAGAAAGCAACCTTTCAGATAAGAAGGAAGATGATTGTAGCTTAAAGCAAGCACTCCCGAGCATTGTTGATAAGCATCAACGTCTGCTAATGAGCTCACACTTTCAGCAACTTTTCTCCACTCTTCCAATGTCCTCTTGCTAGACAGAATCTTGGCAACCACGGCAATCATAAGTGGTAATCCTTTGCAGTTTTTTGCAACGTCCTTCCCAACATCCTCAAATTCAATTGGAAAACCTTTTTCTGCAAATGCTTTTTGGTGAAACAAATTCCAACTGTCATCAGGGCCTAGTAAATGCATCTTGAAAGAATCCTTCAAAGAGCTAGCATATTGAGCAACCTCAATGTCTCGAGTAGTCAACAATACCCGACTTCTTTTACCATCGTCTGGAAGACACAGTCTAATCTCATCCCAAGCGTTTTTGCTCCATATATCATCCACAACAATCAAATACCTTCGACCCATTAAACTTTGTTTCAAGCAAACAGCTAAATCTGAATCGTTTTTCTTATCAAGGTCTTTTTCCTTCCCAATATTAACATCTTTAAGGAGGCCTAAAAGCATCTTTCTATAACTATAGTCCTCAGACACAGTAATCCATCCACGGATGTCAAAGAAGCTCAAAACTGAGGGATGAGAAAACAGCTTTTTGGCAAAAGTTGACTTACCAATGCCGCCCATACCAGTAACAGCGATGACTTCCAGTTCAGGCGAGTCTCTGGTAAGTTGACTCAGCATGTTTGTTTGTTCAATGTTGTACCCCACCATATCGTTCTCAAGGGTTGAAGCATGCAATCCTAGTGAACTTGAATCACCAAGTGAGGAATTTCCAGCTTGCCAAGGAGACTGGAGCACCAGTGCTCCAAACTCCAGTATATTATACTGGACAATTATACTTTGCGGGAGTTCCAGCATAATTATGCTTGAACTCCCGTAAAATTTTGCGGGACTTCCAGCATAATTATGCTTGAACTCCCGTAAAATTTGTGGGAGTTCCAGCATAGTTATCTTGGAACTCCCGTAAAATTTACCGGAGTTCAAGCATACTTATGCTGGAACTCCCGTAAAATTTGCGGGCGTATTTTTCCGGATTTTAAACAGTGTTTTCGCTCAGATTTAAAGTGGCTAAATTTCGATGACTTTTGAAACTTGACTATTTTTCAACGACCAGTGGTAAATCTGACTATTTTTGAATTTCTCCCGTTCTTCGATGACTAATCATGAAACATGTTGAATACATTGTTTAAAATAGACTGTCAAAATATCGCAAAAGTCAATAATTTGAAAATTCAGAAATATTAAGCAGAATTTAAAATTAATTTTTTCGGTGAAAGAGTATATATTAGTATATCCAAAACATGAGCCCTTTTTATGAAGCTATTAATGTGGCAGAAATTATTTAAATGTTAAAATTATATGGTAAAATCCCAATAGGAATCAAATGTTTTGAGTGTGAAGTAAAGTTTCAATAGCATCATAGTTGTGGAAGAAAGGTGATTTAGGGCTGCTTTCTTTAAAATTTAGGCAAAAGCCACTCCTAAGCCTAAAAATAATCTTAAAAGAATTAGTAATCAAAGTCCTAAGTATTAGGCAAATAATTAATTTATAATATAAATAAGGAAAGATATTAAATTCCTGAATATTAGGAATTGATACATAGTTCAAATAAGGAAAAGATTATTAATAGTAAAAAGTTTAGGGAATTTTAAATCCTAAATATTAGGAAACCAATTAAAATTACAATTTTGACCACTATAAAAGTTATTTTAAAGGGGTAAAAAAGGCGAACGACATTTCGTTAAGGGCTTTCGTACTTTTAATATAGTATAGATATGTATGAAAATATTAAATTAATGTAAACAAATCTAAACAAATGTGGACAAATGGAAACAAGTTTATTACTATTTTTAACATCTCCCCTTAAACTTGTTTCATTACTCCAAGCGTCATCCTTAACTTTTGAAAAGCGTCAATCTTCGGCTTGGTGAAAATATCCGCAATTTGATCTCTAGACTTCACATACTCAAGCTCCACAACTTTATTAGATATGCAATCTCTAATAAAATGATATCTCATATCGATATGCTTGTTTCTTTCATGAAATACCGGGTTCTTGGCTAAATCTATAGCCTATTTGTTGTCAACAAAAATCTTTGTAGCATCCTTCTGTGGTTGGTGAAGTTCTTCCAACAAGCTCCTTAGCCAAATATCATGGCAAACACACGAACAAGCTGCTACATACTCCGCTTCACAAGTTGACAAAGTCACAATTGGTTGCTTCTTAGAATTCCATGTAAATGCGGAATTTCCAAGAAAGAAAAGAAACCCAGTAGTACTTTTCCGATCATCAATATCACCAGCCCAGTCACTATCACAATATCCCACGAACTTGGATTCTTTAGAACATGAATAAAGAATTCCATAATCAAGCGTACCTTTGATGTACCAAAGTATTCTTTTGGCTACCTTTAAGTGCGAGGTATTAGGAGTTTCCATAAAGCGACTCAGGAGTCCAACTCCAAAAAGAATATCCGGCCTTGCACATGTCAAATACCTTAAGCTTCCAACAAGACTCTTGAAAAATGTGGGATTGACTATATCTCCATCTCCATGCTTGGATATTTTAACTCCACATTCAACGGGGGTGCTTACGGGATTGCAATTCTCCATCTCAAATTTCTTGAGAATTTCCTTTGCATACTCTCCTTGAGAAATAAAAATGACATCCTTCCTCTATGCTACTTGAATTCCAAGATAGTAGGACATTAGGCCAATGTCCGTCATCTCAAATTCTTTAGCCATTGATTTCTTGAATTCTTCAAACATCTTTGGATTATTTCCTGTAAATATCAAGTCATCTACATACAAGCAAACAAGTAAGATGTCACCATTTTTAGCAATCTTTACATAGAGGGCATGTTCACGTAGACACTTAGAAAAACCATTTGCTTGGAAATATTTGTCAATTCTACTATTTCATGCTCGCGGGGCTTGCTTCAACCCATATAAAGCCTTCTTTAATTTCAAGACTTTATCTTCTTGTCCTTCAACCTTATATCCTGAAGGTTGATCAATATAGACCTCTTCCTCCAATAGGCCATCCAAGAAAGCCGACTTCACATCCATTTGATGAATTTTCCATTGATTTTGTGCCGCCAAAGCAATGACAAAGCGAATTGTTTCCAAATGAGCAACCGGCGCAAATACTTTAACATAGTCAATACCGGCCTTTTGCTTGTAGCCTTTAGCTACCAATCTTGCTTTTTACCTTTCTATTTCTCCCTTGGAATTCTTCTTTAGCTTGTACACCCATTTGACTCCAATGGTGCTTTTGCCTTTTGGAAGTGTGACCAACTCCCATGTATCATTCTTTTTTATAGCTTTGATTTCGTCATCCATTGCATCCCTCCATTTGGATTTGGCAAGCATCTTCAAAGCTTAGAGGCTCACTGTCCACCAGCAAACAAAAATGAGTAAAATCATACAAGTCATTTCTTACCACTTCCGTGTTTTCATACAAGTCACAGAGACTTCTACTCTTGTGAGGTGCTTCACTTGAACTTGAGCTTGATTCCCCAACTTCTTGATCTTGTGGCGGAGGTGTTGAAGGTGGTGTGATAGCCTGCACCCCATCTTCTTCTTCATCATCTTCAAAGAATGGACTAAAAGAGTATTCTTGCTCTTTAGATTTCCACTCCCAAGCATTATCTTTATCAAACTCAACATCTCTACTTATGGTGACCTTGTCATTTTTGGGTACAATTTATAACCTTTAGAACTTTGATCATAGCAAATGAAGACATACCTCTTACTTTTGTCATCAAGCTTAGACCTCTTCTCATCTGACACATGTGCATATGCGATGCTCCCAAAAACCCGCAAATGAGCAACTTTTGGCTTGAAATCGCTCCATGCCTCTTGTGGTGTTTTTCCACGAACACTTTTGGTGTGACACCGATTTGATAAGTACACCACACAAACAACAGCTTCAGCCCAGAACTCTTTTGGCATATTTTTGCTCTTCAACATACTCCTCGCCATGTTGAGAATAGTTCGATTCTTTCTCTCCACGACGCCATTTTGCTGTGGTGATCTCGGAACTGTCAAGTAATGACGAATTCCATTTTTCTCACATAAAATCTTGAATTCATTTGAAGTGAATTGTCCACCATTATCGGACCTAAGTGACTTAATTTGATAGCCACTTTGCTTCTCCACCATGCTCTTAAACTCTTTGAAGGTTTCAAACACCTCCGATTTTGCCTTCAAAAAATAAACCCAAGTTTTTCGAGAAAAATCATCAATGAAAAGTAAAAAATAATTACTTTTACCAAGTAAAGATGGCTTGATAGGTCTGCACACATCCATGTGAATTAACTCGAGAGGGCATCTTGCTCTTATTAAAGACTCTTTAGGAAAGCTTTTCCTTGCTTGCTTTCCAAAGAGACATCCTTCACAAAGTTGGTTGGGATGATCAATTGTTGGCAATCCATTCACCATGCTTTCCTTCTTCATCAACCTTAGGCTATCAAATTTCAAGTGACCAAATCTCATATGCCAAAGCCAAGATGAATCTTTGGCACATGAAAGCAAGCACCTCGGAACTTTGAAGATATAAGATGAACATTTTATTATTAGCCATAGGTACTTTGGCTAACAATCTTCCCTTTTCACCTCTCATATACAACTTTTTGTCTTTCCAATGAATGTCATAATTTTTCTCCAAAAGTTGTCCCAAACTTAAAATATTACTTTTCATCTCCGGCACATACAAAATATTGGAGATTATTGATGACTTCCATCTTTTAAGTGAACTAAAATCGTACATTTTCTTTTGATTTTAACTCGCGAAAAGTCTCCAAAAGTGATTGGGCCACCATTCAACTCCTTAAGCTCTACAAATAAATTTTTCTTTCCACAAATATGACTACTTGCACTGGAGTTAAGGTACCATTTGTTCTTTTTCACACTTTCTTCTCCTTTGCATGCAAGAAGTAGAGTGTCATATTCATCTTCATTTTTGCTCTCTACAAAGTTGTTTTTATCCTCCGAATTATCCTTACATTCCCAGGAAAAATGTCCAAATTTATGACAAGTATAACATTCAACATTCGGTTTGTCATACCTTCCTTGATTTTGTCTCCATCTTTTGCCTCTTCCACGACCTCTTCTTTGACTATAGTCTTGGCTTTTATTGTCTCTATTTGGTGGTTGACCACCACCTCTTCCTCCTCTACCACGACCTCTTCCATTTCCACGACCTCTTTGTTGCGAACCACGCCTTTCATCTTTCTCCTTGAAGGAAAGTTTTGCTTGCAACGCCTTTTCAACCGATTCTTCTTTCGGTTTCTTCAATTTTTCTTCATGGGCTTGCAAAGAACTTGAAAGTTCATCTATGGTCATGGTGTCCAAGTCTTTTGACTCTTCAATAGCAACAACAATATAATCAAATTTTGAATTAGGGATCGTAGTATTTTTGCAACGACCCTATCATCCTTCAACTCTTCACCATATCTTTTTATTTGATTAACAACAGCCAAAACTCCTGAAATGTCACTACTAAAAATCCGGTAAAAAGCGACCACAAAAAGCGACCAAAGTTGGTCGCTTATAGGCCTAAAAGCGACCAAAAGCGTCCAAACATGCGTGGTCGCTATATTGCTGGTCCCTTTATTTTAGGGACCAAAGTTGGTCGCTAAATAGCGACCAACTTTGGTCTTTAAGGTAAAAGGACCAAATATTCCGGGTATTGACTATAGCGACCAACTTTGATCGCTCTATTATTTTAATAATATAACTTTGGCGACCAAAGTTGGTCTCTTTAT